TCTAGAGATGAAGGGATAGGAAAATACATGATAAAAATAAATAGTAAATAATAATCAAAAATGTGTCCATACGTGCCAAAAGGCGCACCCATTGACCGACTCGTAATCTTCTTCCTCTTCCTCCTCTCTTTCTCTCTCCTGTTATTAAAACTTTTAATTAAACTAAAATTATTTAAAATATTTAATTTTTTAATAATAGCTAAAACCAAACCCTTTACGCTAAAAGTGCGGTCCAATGAGAATCACACGTTAAACGCCTACCATAGTCAACATGGTCAGTTAATAATTAATAAATTATATCGGTAAACATGTTTAAATAAATTATATGTTGTTTTTTACATTCGCAGGCTTTTCGCTGAAATACACACAAATAGCCTGCACTGATGTAACGGACTAAAGAATATTTCACCCTAATTAAGTGCAAATTAAACAAATATGATCTTGTTCGCTTGTCATTACGGTTACACGCTTTTATTTACGCTGTATAAAATATGCAACCATGTATAATCTTAACAATTTATTTAAACTTATTTAATATTACAGAAAAAAAACTATTGTATGTTTCCTTTAAGAAGCAAATCCATTATAAATACATTAACATATTAATATAATTTATATATCATTTTCAAAATGTCATTGATGTTTGTATATACAATATATAATTAATTAAGCTCATTCAATATGAAAACACCATTAATTTAACAATGTAAATGATAAAAAGCTTTTTCAATGATTATTCAAATTCATTGACACATGAATTTAATACTTAATTAATAAATTCGTGAAAAATCAACCATGTTTATTAACACCAAACTAATCTCGGTAATTCTGTTGGTGGCCCTACTGTCCCATACTGTACACGGGTTTGGCGAACAACTCAAGGAATTAAATTATTTAAATGTTCTTTCTATAATAAATAATATTTATTTGATAATCAATTTTAATTTTTTAATTTTAATTAAACATTTAATAATATAAAAATGTTAAATTATGGTTTTAAATTGTTTTGTTTATTCAGTACTAATATCATATAAGTTATATCATAAATATCAAATTATCAAAATCAAATTATTTAAAGTACATGTATTAATACTGAAGAATACACCTTCTAATACATAACAAAAATTTTGAACAGAATTTTGCTTGCATTTTCATTTTCGAAATTATTTTCAAATATCAAGGTAAAATATGGTAAATAATTATCAAATAATATAATTGGTAATTAATATTGTAAATATTTTATTTAAAAACAATTTTATTTATTAATTAATGATTAAAATTATTTATTTTTGGTACATTACTTTCATTAAATGTATTGTAGGGGACAGTAATATAACGATATAACGTGACGTTTTTACTGAATCTAAGTTAGCATACAGTGCAACCTCTCAATAAGGAACGGCCAGTTGTAGCGCAAAACTATGTTTCTTATAGAGAGGGTTTCTCCAAAGGAGGTTAAATTAAATTACACGATAAGAATAAAAAATGCAACAAATATTTCAATTTAGTTAATTATAAGGAGGGGTTCCCCGAAGAGAAGTTGCCTGAAGTGAGATTACACTGTATAGGGAAAGGCTATTGTGTGGTAACGGGTATGACATTTAAAGGTATGACAATTGAAGACATATAATACACAGTAAACAGAGAGTCAAACACTTTACTAAACACAGCGTATATATGATATATCCATCGCTAAAGTGTTTGGGTTTATTAAACACAGTATGAGTGCCACTAAATCCATGGCCACCACAGCTATCGCCGCCACAGAGGCCACGGATCAGTCTCTGGTGACCGACGATAAGCCTAAAAGCGGTGATAATAGCAACGATGGGGAGGAAGAGTGCGATACTGTTGTCTCCGCCCGAGTGGTGGCCAAAGAGGCCGAAGAAGTGGTGGAAGAAGAGGAGGAAGAGGAAGAAGATTACGAGTCGGTCAATGAGTGCGCCTTTTGGCACGTATGGACACATTTTTGATTATTATTTACTATTTATTTTTATCATGTATTTTCCTATCCCTTCATCTCTAGATATAGTTACTGTTAATACAGATGTAGTTTAGTTTTTGGTGTTTTTTATTGTTTTGTTTGATTTAATTTTTTTTGTGGTTAGTCTTGACTGCGATTATTGTTTGCATGCATTTTGCGCTGACCAGCAAATGGTGGGCACAGTCTGTCCGCAAGAGATAATTGTGTTGAATGCCGATGTGATAGTAGTTTAGGGCAATACAAATAGGTAGTAACATTTTTTTCGGACTAATGGCCATATACTGACCTATCGGTAATTACCCGAACATTGCATGTATGCATGTTCTAACTATTATCTAACTATTAACTTCTGTGTAACATCTATGGCATCTAAAGTGGGTGCTTATTATTAAAGCAATATGCTTGATAATAGTTAGAACATGCATATTTGAGATTTGAGTTTATTTTTTTTGTTTATTGCAAAAAAAAATATTTATTTTGCAATGATTTAATGTTTGGCATATAAAGTGTTAATGCATTTAATTGGGTTATTATTTCATACGGCAGTACACTATACACACATGAGTTGTGTGTTGTGTACAGTATTTGACTGTATGTGTTGTTGTGTTAACTCTCAGTAATGACAACTACAGTACACACCAGTATATAGAGTACACAATTGCAGTACAGGTGACCCCTTTTCTATGCCAACTACTTCCCTGTTAGCCCCACAATCACTCGCATGGCTGATAATATACCCGCAATATTTTGCTCGCACCCTTCCCCCCCTCTCACCCGCCATGACCTGGGCTATTTTTCTAAACTCCAACTTTCATATTTACCTTTGTATTTCTTTAATTATTAAAGTTTAATAAGTAAAAAATTGTTATTAGCTTTTTTACCTCGAAGAAAATTCCCACGAATAGTGTTAACAAGTTCTATCCCGAGTATATCCCACACCCCCTCATCGGGGGGTGTATTTTTCCCCGAAATATTTGCCACCCTTTATATGAATGAAAATAATACAATTGCATTTCCCGCACCCCCTCCCCCGCAGATCGAGGCCACTCTGGACAACGTGTTTCACACGGGAATGCTTGTGGAGATCGAGCACTCGGCCCAGAAGTACTGGTTGGCCACAGTTGTGGGCGCTTTCGGGCAACTGTTGTCACTCAAGTGGGAGGGCGCCGAAGGGGAGCCCGACTTTTGGTTCGATCTGAAGAACCGTCGCATATATCCCGTCGGTTACTATCGGGACAAACGAGACTTCAAGATAGAGCCCCCAAATCACCTGAAACTGGAGACCAAGAGCATTGTCGACGTGACGGTGAAGTACTTCTCGAAGCAACCGTCATCGGTGGCCAATTGCGTCAAATTGAACTTGTTCACAAAGTACGGGTTCACCAATTTGGCCGACATCTTCATGCCGGGAACCGCTGTCGTCGAGGTTAGCCACGAGTTCGAGCCCCACAAGTATTGGTTCGCAAGAGTGGTACAGAATTTTGGCGGTCGACTCACTCTCAAGTGGATCGAAGACTGTTCCCAAGAGGTTTGTATTCTCTCTCTCTCTCTCTCTCTCTCTCTCTCTCTCTCTCTCTCTGGTCTTTAATTTGAAATTATGTTTACATGCAATCGGTTCCCAAAAATAGGAGACCAAATACGAGCCGAACAATGAGGACTACTTCTACCGATACTTTTGCAGTCCATGCGTTCAACACTTGGGTTACGCCAACTCGCGAGCGGCCGACGACTACTTCTACTCTACACCCAAACTGTCCATCGAAAACAGCGAAGAGATAATCGACAAATATTTGGCCGAAAGCGGATCCGAACTGAACGAGTACATCAAGACCGTCATCCAGAGCGCCAAAGAGACAGCGCCTAAGCTCTACAAATCGGGTGGTCTGGAACAGCTGCGCGCCAACGATCGGGTTCTCGTATTTCCCGCTAAACTCTTGAAACTATGTCCGGCGAGTGTCGAGTCGGTGGCCATGAATGGCCAGCACGTGGTGGTCCGGTGCGACGCCGACCCCGCCATACGATTCTGTTATCCCAATCACGACAACAATTGCTTTCTGCCGCTGAGTTGGGCCGAAGAGCATCAGATTAGCGCCGAGTCGACGGCCGATCAGCGCCGACACGGCTCGCGAGGCGCTCCCATCGCCATCCAAAAGGACTCCCGAATTGATGAGTTCGGCATCAATACGAAACTCGAGGTCATTCATCCGACCGACAAGAATAAAGTCAGTGATCTTTGGATTTAATTGTTTTGTTAATTGAGTGATAATTGTATTGATTTTGTATTTTGTTGTCTTTACCATCGGATCAGATATGCGAAGGCATTATCATTCGAGTCACACCACCGTTGATATGGATAGAGATCGCGTCGGACACCATCACAGTCTTGCCGTACACGTCGACCGATATCTATCCGCTCGGTTGGTGTCATAACAACGGCTTAGAAGCGGTCAAATTGTTGATTAACGCTAAGAAAGCGTCGCCCAAAATGGCGGCCAAAGAAGTGAAGACAAAGCCGTCGTCGCTGACTATAGAGACGCCCAAACCTGATGCCGAAGGTTCGGCGCCCGACGGGGACACAGACCCTAACCTTCCCTCTTCACCAACGAGTAAGCAATTTGTTTCTTAATTCAATTGGCATTAATTGGGTATTAATTATCACTAATGTGTGTCACCGACTCCGGCAGTGCCCTCATCCCAGTCCTCGCAGTGCGGATCAAAGTCTTGGTGTCCGCGTATATTCATTAACCACAAGTGTTTCACGGGTCCCGCGCTGTCCAAATCCAAGATCTGCGAACTGCCCCAATACGTGGGCCCGGGCCCCATCACCTTGGTGCTCCAGGAGGTGATCTCCAAGATAATACAGGTGGCGTACGTACCCAACCGTGTCCTCAATGAGTTGAGTTCCGTCGGCTTCGAGGAACTGCTGAAGAAGCGGGACATCAAGAAGACCGACGAAATCATGTTTAAAGTATTGACACAATTTGATTGTCTGTTTGACAAATGTGTGATTTCATTGTGTGTATTGTCTTGTGATTGCGATATTCAGGCCAAATACCAGAAGCGCACATATCGTGACGACGTCTTAGTGGCCCGCAATGCGGATCAAGTGGAAGAGTACTGCCGATCCGTATGCGGTCATCTCAAGTGTTGTTATAATCTCTTCTCGCCGTTTCAGTTCAGCGGCGATGACTGTCCATCCAATTGTCGAGGTATGCGCTCAACCATTTGATCCCAATTACTATCTAATAATCTATATGTTTTATTCTTCCACTTTGACCACAAAAAGGCTTAACGAAATCCAATAAGTATCTGAAGAGAGCCGGTTATTACAGAGACAAAGCCCGACACAATCGGATGGCGCAGAACAAGAAGAAGATGACTCTTTTGCCCGCCAATGGCGAGACCAATGAAGACAATGACAAGAACGACGCCAATAATGACGGCGCCAACGATACCGAAGAGACTTGCGGTCAAAGTAGCGACAAATTGATGGACACAAAGCCCGACGACTCAGTCAACTGTAAGTCTTTGCCACTAGTCATCGGATCCCAAACCCAAATACAATGTTTTTTAATTGATTTCTATGTCTTCGGCCAACAGCCCAGTCGAACGCTGCCGACGGCTCGAGCGATGAGTCGACGAACAACGACAACATTCCCATCGACGCCGAAGAGCTCCACAAACAGCAACAGCAGAAGGAATTGAACAAAACTGCGGCCAAAAACGGCCAAAACTCACAATTGCCGAAGAAGTCGCTGTCAAAGACGGGCAAAACCAAAGCCAAACGCAAACGCTCTGTAATTGATGACGAGATCGAAGTGGACGAGAACGAGGACACCGATAACCCTCTCTATTGGTCCATCGGTGACGTTCACGACTACCTCAAGAAGAGCAACTGTTTCATGTTTGCGCCTACACTTCGGGAACACGTATGTAACGACACCTCTCTGGAGGAATATCTCAATATCTGCCACTGTTTTTACGATAACTAATAAAACTGTTTCTCTTATACTCCCGAATGTGACGGTACAGGAAGTGGACGGCGCGGCGCTATTACTGCTCGACTACAACACGATAACCACTTTGTTATACTCGGGTTATACCCGACAGTACGGTATCGGCGACGCGTCCAAACTGTCGGCTCTGGTCGAGTCTCTTCGCCACAAATGGGCCCGCATTTCGAAACGGCTGAAGAAATGATCCCAATTTTAGGACAACCATTAGATGCTTGAAATTCAAGAGCACCTGTAGTCGTGTGGATCCCCCAGTCTTCAGTCACCACCACTTCTCCTACCACTTAACATATGTATGGAAACTAAATAGTGTTTGAAATTCCCCTTTTTTGCGGGTAGTTTTCAATCGCTGTTTGTTTTTTAAATTGTATTTAACTTTTTAAATATACGATTATATAAATTAATTATTTGTTGTTTGACTGATAAATATATATAAATTTTAATTATAATTATATATCTAAACACAAATGAGAAGAGTTATAGTCTATAGATATAAATTATATAAATCGCAAAACAAATCTCACAATTTATATATTTTGACATTGAAATGGAAAATAACCAAAAATAAGTCTCAAATACTAAAAATGAGTGCAAAGTAGAGAGAGAGAGAGAGAGAGAGAGAGAGAGAGAGATTGTGATGTAATTGTTTGGCAATCAGTGACATAAACACATGACGATAGACTGCTAACAACACCGACGATGAATTTATTTATGCACATATGAAATACATATTTATTTTTCAATATCAACGATCAGTACACTAACACCATATAGTGTACGACAATCAAACCTCTTTAAAATTTACCATCATTTTAAATATCAAAACGTGAACTTAAAAAACAATTTCAAACACAACATTTTTAACGATCACTAATTTGAGACAATTTTCTCACTTCATTATAAAGACTTCATTCAACAGTAAATGCTTTATAAAATGTACACAAAATCGTTGCTATTATATACCAAAAACACTACTGTATTATGTATTTTATATTTTTATATAAAACACTTGATATCGATTGACAAAAAATAAAGTGCATTTCAATAGTAGTGTACATAAAAAATACTACTATTTTTACGAGATATTAACGCTAATAACGTGATGACAACTAAACGATTAATTAAAAACCATTAGAGATATCAATGGGTGTAAACAAAGACAGCGGTTCCCAAACCAAACCATTGCCCTCACTATAACTAAACAGTAGTTGTGTTTAATGATAATATCAATGAATTTCAATCAAATGTCTAAATTAAACACTGAATTAAATGCTGGGGTTTTGGGGGGAAAACTTACTCCAAAAATATTTGTACACTTTTCGCTATACATTCAACAACTGGTCACTGATTTTGCAAACAATTAAATCACTCAAAATGTCACTCACTTTTCAGTAATTGACAATCACTTATGGATTGATAAACACCAGACACTATAGCTTAAGACAGCCAAAAGACAATTACATTTAATAGTTTGTAATTTAAGGAACAATTATAACCAATAGTGTACTGAAGACAATCACTACGGGAACAACTAATTAGGGGTACAATTGGCCACCCGTTTACGGGACGAGTCTTAGAGACCACATGACTATCGACCGGCGCAACGAATGCCGTATAACTTATAAAATGGTTAAATAAATATAATTATTATTTTGTTGTTTTTTGTACACTATGTAAACGTATGATATGATTGCTATTTATAAATACACATAAAGCCAATGATAAGGGGGAGGGATTCGTGCCGTATATAGTGAACAACGGATTAAAATATGCAACACAAGTGGTGACACTACTACCACACCATAAGGTATAAGCCGGTGGTCACTCTACCACACAACTCCAATGCATATGCGGTTCACATACGGGCAGACAATAGACACAAATCGGTGGTCAATAGACACAAATCGGTGGTCAATAGACACAAGACATGCAGACAAAGTGTGTGGGTGTGAGAGACACCGGCAGAGAGTGAGGGGGAGAGAGAGACAATACAAAGACATGACATCCGGTGTGTTAGTAGACAATCGCTTAAGACTAAAATACACGTAAATGTGAGACACGTTGTCCAACGACAATGGCTTACCGATGGATGACTGTTGGAAGTGTTAGAGTGATTATTGGCGGTGTTATTGCTGTTGTTGTTGGCTGTGGTAGCGGTGGTAATGGCGGCGGCGGTGTTGTTGAGACAATTGGCGGTACTATTGTTGGTATTATTGTTATTATTGGCGGACGTCTTGTGGCGTTTGTTCGGTGGACTCAGTGTTTCATCTGATGGTAAGCCACTCAACGAAGAGGACATATGGTGTTGTTGAGACAATTGGCGGTACTATTGTTGGTATTATTGTTATTATTGGCGGACGTCTTGTGGCGTTTGTTCGGTGGACTCAGTGTTTCATCTGATGGTAAGCCACTCAACGAAGAGGACATAATCTGATGGCCAGACGACGAGCGGATGGACAGGAGATACTATCCGGCGCTGAAGAACAAGACAAACACACAATTGGGAACCACTGGGCAATCAAAGCGGGCGATCACTTGGTCTTTGTCGGTGATAGTGGTGTCTCAGTCTGTCTTTCAATGGCAATCAAATCACGTGTTTCTCAGTGTGTTGTCTGCGATCTGATCCCTGAAGAACTGATACGAGATATTTGTTGTCCAACTATTCAACGGATGTATTGGTGGTTAAGAAATGGTTGAATGAAATCAGGCGTTGGTTTGCATCGAAAACACAAGCGTTTGCTAATCGTATTCAACACTACAGTCTACTCAATGCGATAACTCTTTCATTACAGTCTATAATAGATATATTAGATGCACAACACATACACCGCATAACACCATTCACTACAGCCTATTGTGTGTGTGCTTTGCATGCATTGCCAATGCAATGGCGTTATTGTCTGTAGTGGTGTCTATACAGTGTGTGCACCGAAAGCGGGCGCTGTTTTCGCGTAAGAATCACTGCCTGTTTGTGTCGGTATTTAATGGGTTGCGCTGTGCTTTCGATAGGAGGTGCAGTTTGTAGCGCCAAGTTTGAAGTTTTTGTTACTTTTTTGTCTATTTTTGCTACTTTTTGCTATTTTTAGGTACTTTTTTGGGTTTAATTTCTCTGTTTTTGGGTTTAATTGCTTTTAATTTTGTTTTGTTTTTCGATGAAATATAATAGTATTTTTTATTTGCTTTTAATTAATTTAATTTTTTTGTTAACAAACGGTGCGAACAAAACAACTCTTGGTTTTTTAGTGTTTGTAATTTTTTATTTGTTTTATAAATTTATTTATTTAATTTTAATGGTTTTGTAATTAATTAAATTGTATATGCATTGCACAATAAGAGACAAAAAAACTTTGATGTGTTGTTTAAAGTTACAAAAACTTTTAACATTTGATTTTTATGCCAATTTCTGGTCATTTAAATGTGATTTACAAATGGTATCCAAATTGTGTGAAAAAACTCA